ACTAATTGGATGCTGGTGGAATGAGTTTCTGCTGTACACTCGCAATGTAACCCGTTTTGTTCACATTTACATGGAATTATTAAGCATTGTGTATTTCTCTGTTAGATGTGGGTAAGTCGATAGGAAAAAAAACTCTGTTATTTGATTCCTTGATTTATGATAAAGAGGAAAAAAGTCAGCCTTGAAGAAACATTCAACACCGCTGAAATATTCAGGACGCCAATGCTACCCAAAGCTTTTAAAGGAGAACTATGGGGTTAAAGCTTTTCCCCATAGTTCTCCTTAGGGTTGCATTTCTGCTTATGGAAAACTTTTTTGCCTTTTTACTTACCTTTACTTACTGTCTGTCTGACTATACAGCTTGAGGGCTGGTTCATGGCACTGCAGTCATGCTCCCCCGCTCCACCCTAACGTGTGGCACATTAGTGCCTGCGTTCCGGTCCAGTGCGACCTGTAAAAATAGTGCGTGCAGCATTTTTGCCTGTGATTTTAATGCAGAGCCACGAACCCTTCCACCCCTGAACGCAGTGAGCCGGCTGGGTTGTGTTCCAGTGCATTCCAGAGGCATAACGCTCTGGAATGCACTCTATGTGGTATGAACCGGCCCTGAGAGTCAGACGGGGATATGTATGAAAGTTGCTGTCCTCTCACTTGCCTGACTTCACACAATGCATGCTCAGAAATTAGGAAGCCGAGTGTGAGGTCAGGCAATGGAAGGGACGGGGACTTCAGCTGACCTTTCACTCCCTGGCAAACTGAATTGTCACCTACAAGCAAAGAAAAAAAGGGGCCAAATATAAATATTGCGTAGGTACGCCTATACATATATGATAATATAAGGATGAATATTCAGAATTTTCCATAAGCCCAGACATGCCTAGTTTCCCGTAACCCAGCGTTTTTCAACCTTTGAAAACTCGAGGCACCCCAGTCTAAAATGTAAATGTGGCCCTCCAAAATCCATTCCAAAGTGGGTTCCCCCCTTCAACTTAGGAGCCCCCCCTTTACATAAAGAGTTCCCCTTCACATCAGAATCCCCCCTTTCACATTAGGAGTCCCCCTTCACATCAGAATCCCCCCTTTCACATTGTAATCCCACTCACTCACACTAGGAGCACCCCTTCACTTCAGAAGCTCCTTTGACATCACAGTCCTCCTCTTATACATCAGAGTCCCCATCGTTCATGTCAGAGTTCTCAGTCCCCCCTTCACATCAGAGTCCTAAAATCACATCAGGAGCCGGAGCCACAGCTACCGCATCATGGCTGTGGACAGGAGGTAGAGCAAGCCTGGACCGCAGAAAATCTCCATCCATTTCTAAGCAGATCCTGTCTTTCCTGAATTTGTTAGTTTTTATGGTGCTGGTGGCCAAGTCTGTCTGCCCCAATAAAAGGCATGACATTGTGTGAAAATTTTGAGGCAGCCCTAAGGAAGCCTGAAGGCACCCTGGTTGAGAAAAGCTGCCATAACCTAAAGACGTATAGCCTAGTGCAGCCTTTCTCAACCTTTTTAGCATGGAGAAACCCTTAAAATATTTTTCATGTCTTGGGGAAACCTTGCTAAAAATAATTATACCTACAGTTCGCGGTACATTAGCATGATCACTAATGATGGCATACCTAGCAGATTTGACACCCTAGTCAGGTTGTTTTTACACCCTCCAGCTCTGTACAACCACATATTTAGTAACAATCTCGAATTGAATAGAAATGTAGACAGTAAAAATGGTGGTGTCCCCTAACATTAGTGGTCAGTGTAGAACTGTCCCCTTGCATCGTGGTAAGTGTAGTTAGGAGTTCAATCTGCCATTGCTCATTGGTTAAGGAGCCCCCAGCAACCCTTAGGAGGAACCTTGGTTGAGACAGACTGGTCTGGAGCAACCAATTAAATTTCAGTTTACTAAAGGCAGATTAGTGAATGCTAAATTCTGATTGGTTACTGCGCTTTTCTATTTGTCTTACTGATCAAGTCAAATTGTATTACAGAAAACAAGATGTGCCTGGTCTATTCATGAAACCCTACATTTTACAATCCACCTTCTAGACTTTACAAAATGACTTTATTGCATGATTTTGTCATCTTCAAACAACCCGGTCTACATGCTCTCATATGGTGTATGACAGGACAAGCTACTACTGACGTTTACATCCCATAATGCATTACTTCAAGTATTTCAAGTCTTTAAATGTTCCGCATCATTTGAGAGATGAGTGGTGCCAAACTAAATAAGGAAGGAGGAGCCGAAGTTTAGTCACATGGCTTATACACCAAGGAGAAAAACCATTTCTGGAAATCGAATGTGATATGAATTGGGAGAAATAATGTGAAAAAAGGTTGATTCCTAAGCAACATGGGGCACATGAGTCTTATCAGTGACAAAGAGGACATACATTAAGAACAAATCAATTGTATTTATTATAGAATAAATTCTCAAACACATTAAAGCAAAACTGTTTGCATTTCTCACAAGGAGATCAAATCAGACTCCTACATAAAACCTATGAGAGACCTCACTGACCTAATGGCGTTGGAGGCAGGTCGAGATTTGCATATTACAGCAGCTCTGATTTTGGTGCTCCCAGGGAGTCTGAGCAGCCAGTTTGATATCTGCAGTTCCCTGTAGCCACCCGCTTTGTATTTCCAGTGACAGCTTACTATTATTGAATCTGAAAGCCAACATACATTCTTTGCAGGGAAATCTTCCAGGTCCATGTGCTTTAAATAACAATGATGGATTCCTTACCAGAGAAGGGTGAAAATCTTAGTCACTGCCTTGTAAATAAACCCCAAATGTAAAGACACAACAAGTTTACCAAGTGACAACATGGTGTCAACTGGTTCTAAGGTTATTCTACCATCCAATAAAAAAGAAGAGGGCTGTAATCTAGTTGACCACAGTTATAGCATATATCTAAAGTCAAAACATTTTTTTGAATAGAATAGGGACTCCTGTTTTTGTTTTGTTTTTTGTTCTCTTTGGGCTGATTTCAGTTCACTTCTTGTCCCGGAGAGACAACAGGAAGACGATCTCAACAAAGGTAAGAGAATACCCCTCCTAGGTCATTTTCACAAGAATAGATGACCCACCAGAAAAATGTCCCCTCTACTCTTGTTCTGGTGGCAACTGTAATTCTTTTTATATCCCAGTGATAACAGTCACCAGGACAAATTGTATCCCTGATTGTCCTGGTGACCATTATCACTGGCATATAAAGTGATGGAAAATCCAAAATGTTACAGTGTATGTCACAGTGATAATTTACCAGGACAAATAGGAAGGATGAATCTCTCCAGCGGGACCAGACAACAAAAAGTTTACAAGAGTCTAAACACTTCCCCACTCTATGTAATGATAAAAAAAATAAACTGACTTTAATCACTATAGGAGCATGTCTACAGGCACACAAACTTCATTTAAATATATTCCTCTATAGCCACAGAAGTTTAAATATCACTTTATGTATACCAACACAGATATTACCATATGAAAGTAGCATTGACATCATCATCAGCTGTGCATAACTTGTGCAACAAGCAGAGCTGTGGGAGGTACCCAGCAGGCCCCACCCACTACAGGCTGCCTGCAGCGAACTACAGAAGGGGGCGGATTCAAGACCAGTCACCCGGCACAAGGAAAGGGAGCAGGAGTGACCGGTCTTTATTACAGGGACATTTTTTACACTGGGTCACTGCACAGATCTGGAATAGATACAGAACCCTCATCAAATTCAAGTAGGAACACGCATGCCCTTAGTATTTCTGCAATATTTGCTTATCCTAGAGTTCAGCTTTAAATAAATGTATTTAGTTACTTAGTTTTAACATCTGTTTATAAAAAAAAATAAAGCTGTTTAGCAAAGAAAGCATCAACCACTGCACAGTTAAGTATTGACAAACATTGGTGCACGTCAAACCCTGTTGATCAAGCAAGCATCCAGCGCTGAAGTATGCATGTCAATAATAACGAAATGACTCAAAAGTAAACCAATCTCATTCCCCTAGAACACAAACATCACCGTAAAACACAAAAATACGACCGTGCAAGAACACCACAGCATCTGCTTTTTGAAGAAAGGCTGCAAACCCTGGAAATGCTGCACAGTCATATCCAATTCATTTTAGGCTGGAAATAACTCCACCATCACTTATCATATTTTAGTATTTTAGGATCTACACAACGTTGCCATACTGCGCCGTAGAACGCCGAACAAAACTTCAAGCTTCAGTAAAGCAAGAAAATGAACATGATCTTCTTCCAACAAATCAGCTTTAACACACGGATCGCTAGAGAAATCAATGAATGACGTCCAAAATTGCATGCTGAAACACAAGCTTTGATATACAGAAGTATTACAACAAATCTGGGCTCATTTAATGCAAATCTGTCACATTTGAAGCAAGATCAAGCATCGCAAGGCTACAATATTGAGAAACTCCTTTTATTTTTAAGATTCTTGCTGAAAATGTGCAATTCGGTGCCTTTTATTAAATCTGTGACCACAAAGCAGAAAGCTGCATGGAGCCAAGAGCCTCGGACTATGCTCTGTGCTTGGATGCCACAGATCATTATTAATGTAGCTGTGCCCACAGTGAATTCTATATTATATTGTCACATTAATCCGGACGCTGACAGCCTCAGAGACAACGTGTTACTTTATCAATGTATCCGTGTGAAGAAAATGCTCCATGTCCAGGCACTCTCCTATAGGTGATGGACATCTTTTAGCAGCACAATGATGGGAAGAGTGACCCGTGGCAACCAATCAGCAGCTTATAGAGCAGAAGTAGACAAACTTCAGCCCTCCAGCTGTGAGACTACCAATCCCATTAGGCATTGCAAGTCTCTGACAGCCACAGGGATGACTCCCAGAAGCAGATGCATGATGGCTTTTCACTACAGCTAGGTGGACAAAGTTTGGCTACCCCTGTTATAGAGGGTGAACTTGTAATAGACATTTTCTGATTTTGCAGAACCGAAAACTGAAACCAATGTTGCCTACCTCTATAAGGAAGTCTCCGGTCCTCAGGCCGGCTTGCCATGCCACCCCATCCTCATCCACTGATTCCAGGTACTGCAGGGCAGGGAAGGCTGGTGTTGGGTTAAATTCCTCAATAGGCGTGTCCGCTAAAAGAGGGGGAAAAATAAATAACTTGAGCCTTAAGATTGTACAGATGAATGCACAAGGAAAAAGTGCAGACTTTGCGTCACTCACACATATTCACAAGATCTGTATGCTTGTTTGAGAATAGGAAGTCAGTAAGTAACACTAGAAGACTGGTGGTATAAAGTGCTCTGCAGCCTTGAATTTTACAGACTTGCCACAGAAACGAGCAGTTTTCAATAAAACAGATACAATTTGTCCCACGTGTCGTCATCTCCTCGCTTTGAACATGTCACCACTTAAGCAGGGCCAAGCTTGGAAAAAGTTAACTTACTGTTTGCTATTCAGGAACCAGCAATGGAGGTTGGAACCAATATACCTACTAGCCAAGAACCCATAAGCGGGTCAGGAGTTCTGACCTCATTAAATAAGTGCTTGTTCCAGGTCTGTGACTTACTAAGAACCCAAGAAGGGTACGGATGACAGCCCTGGAGCTGGCACATTTATAACAAAAAAAAAATCCAATGTGTTTTCTAGTTTTAGATAGGTTAGGGAAGGATTTTATAGGATGGCAGGGAAAACCCGATAGGGGTTCTAACCACTCTATCCAAAACTAAGAACAAAAAAAGTTTTGGCTGGACATGCACTTTAAGTGGTTTCATTTCTTGAGGGTTATATACGGCCTTACTGACAGCTCTAAATCTTAAGTGCAATAACCCATAGGAACCGATCAGAATCCAATGTGCTGATGTCAGAAGAGCACAAGATGCCTTCTGAATGACTATAATAGGGAACTGCACTTAAAGCTAAACACTGGGAACAGCAAGAGGTATTTGTGAATTTCTCTTATATCTGTACAGTCATCCCGGGGGAAACTTTGCCTCTGTAAAGGAACTTGCTGTAATAAAGACCGATCACTGCTGCCCTCTCTTGTTGTGCAGGGTGACTGGTCTTTTCTCCACCCCTCCTGTAATAAAGATCGGTCACTGCTGCTCTCTCTCCTTGTGTAGGGTGACTGGTCTTGTATCCGTCCCCTCCTGTAGTCCTGTAGTGGTATATCTAAAACCAAAAGTTTTTTTTCCATTTTTGATAAATTAGGGAATAGTCAGAATCCCTATCTGGTTTTTTTTTTTGCCCTCTGTGTACCACTGAGGAAATTTCCCTTCACGTCTTGTCCTGCAAACACAACAGGAAGTGAGGAAATCCATCCAAAGAGACAAGAATTATCTCTTAGTTTTCCTGAAACACCTGTCTTCATTTGTGGATTTTCTATCTATTCCTGTTCTGGTGACAACTCAAAAGTTTGGATGGCAGTGACCACCAGGACAAACAAAGAGTAAATCTCCCACATGAGAACAAAGAACGTAACAGAAACCTAGTAGAAATTGGAATTGAAGCAACACACTAATTAAAATAATACACATACAACTTTATTCCATTAGGATAAGAAGGATCTTCAAGTAGAGTAGCCAACACATTTCAGGGAGTCAAAACACACCCGCTTTATAAGAGAAATTGTGTATGTGGAAAGTTGTATTGAGTTTTGGAGTTTGAGGCTTGTCCGCATGCTGGTTTGGCAGCTACTGGGCCCACATATATGATTTCTTTTAGTAAGCCCAAATGAAGGGGGTGTGTTTGGGTTCCCTGAAATGCTTTTGCTACTCTACTTCAAGGTCCCTCTGACCCTAATGGAATAAACTTGTATCTGGACTATTTTAAATGCTGTGGCACTTCAATTCCCACATCTACTGTGTTCACTGTCAACTCAAGGATCTAGTGGAGATCTTTTGCATTGCGAAAGCTGCTTACTCGTTAGCCAGATCACCCATATTCACATTATTAACTACTGCTGGATTAGAAAAAGCCTGAGAATAACCACACGGGCCCAGTGCTTTCTTTCCACACTTCCAAATAACCTGAGGGGATTCTAACTCCTAACAAGTCTACCCAAAACTTTGGCTTTAGAGGTGCTTTAAAAGGAGAACTATGAGGTGAGTGAAAATCACTCATCCTCATAGTTTGAGCCGACGTGTGACAATGTCGGCTCAATAGATCGGGAAGTGAGCGAATACATACAGTTGCTCGCTCACTTCTCGATCATCTCCCTGCAGAGAGCGGTGACTGTCAGTCACCGTTCCCCGCTCCGATCCTCCAGGACTGACTGGAGGAATGGAGGGGGTGGGCACAGCTGGCTCTGCCTCTAGATAGCCAGAGCCATCTGTCACTCACGCAGCTGAGTGGTTCTCAACAGCATTGTCGGGATCCGTCCCGGCTGTGGCGGTCTCAGCTGTAGCTCGCGATATACTGAGCTTTGGGTCACGGGAGGACGCTACTATATGTCCTCCCGTGACTCTTAAAGAGAACTATGGGGAAAAACACTTACCCCATAGTTCTCTTTTAAGTCCCTATTTTCTTTTATTGGTTGAGGTCTAAAACCCTTCCCAATTTACCTCTCCTTTTTTGTGTCTCTTCTCGATTCTTGTTTTTTGCCTCCCTGTTCTCTATCCTTTCTCATGTTCCATTCTAAGAATTTCCACACTACAATTTGAAGGTGAAGCCAGCAAACACCCCTTGTGCACAGACTAGACTCATATGTTCACTCTCCTTCCAAATGGTGAATACGCTCATATCACTCTCATTTCCCCAATTCCTCTTGTGCTATAATGTTTTCAATGTGTTTATCATATTTAACAAATGGCTTTGCAGTCCCGTTCTGCTGAAACAATTTTTAAATAAAAAACGGGGGTTTATGGATTCTCTAAGCTGGTCTGTCTCGATATGGTTTCCTAGTCTTTCTCCTAGTGCAAGCAGACTAGGCAGCAGTGTTGACTGATCGTATTTACTGATTTAAACAGCTCCAGCAAAACAATATCCTGCTCTTTATTTACTTTTCTTCGTCAATAAAGCTATGCATACTGAACTAAATGTGCTGATTAACCTTCTAATAATTAAAGGCTTATTCCTCCATGCTTGTATATGATCGTCCTTCATATTATTTTGTGTGTATAACTTCCTCGTCACCACAGTGTGCAATGACCAAACTAAAATATTCATAACTAGAAACGAATGTCTGCAAAGGCATTTTTATTGGCTGAACATACAGCGTATGAGCCCACTAGGGGACACAAACCATATCCTGTGGTGCTACGGTAATGTCAAGAATTCCTAGTGAGCTGTCAACCTTCATTTCTCCGACTATGCATTGCTCCCATAGAATGAGGGCCTCCTGTATGTAGGTCACTGGCGCAAATATGTCCGCATCCCTTTGACATACATTGTATTAGGAGTACACCAGCAGGCTGCTTGGTGCTTGTGGCCCGAGGGCAACCAGAAATTGAGTTTTCTTTATTCTGCAGCATAAGCATAATGATTACTAATATCAGGCTGTTATAGAAAGAGGGCAGAGGGAGCCTGCTATGTAGGTGCATCTGTTTAATCTTCTGGTAGGATGGTCAGAGTGCTATCAGCTTTCTCTTCCCAAAAGCTGTAAGCCCACCATACAGGTCACAATCTGACTGTACAAACTTCTTTAGATCTACCAACAACTAGGCAGTATGAGAGTCTGCCTGAGTGGATGTAAATGAAATGGATAGTCTAGGAGCTCCTCATATTATATAGCTTTGGTAACTCTAAGGCTGGGTTCACACCTAGGCGTATCGAATATGCGCATTTGTTGCGCGTTTTAACCGCGATGCGTGGTAAAAAAAACTGTGCAAAAAACGCGCGTTTCCGAGGGCTACCTGGCTATATCCCAATGGATGCGCACGGCAAATACGCCCCAAAGAAGCTCCTGTACTTCTTTGGACGTAGGGCGTTTTGCAGCGTGTTCCTACACGCTATAAGACGCCCAGGTGGGAACCATGCCCATAGGCAATCATTGGTTTTCACATGTTGAGCGTTTTACAGAGCGTAGGAACGCGCTGTAAAACGCCCAGGTGTGAACCAGGCCTTAGACCCCATTCACACTGAGCTACATCAAGCGTGATTTTGAGCTGAGCGACATTGAGCTACATCAAGCTACAGTGAGCTGTTTAAGCTACATTGAGCTACAGTGCACATATTGTCTCGCTACATAGCGCTACTTTTGGCATGGACTTCGTAGCTGCTACATTGGGCTGTATCCAATAAAAAGCAGTTTTGATATGACATAATTCCTCTTCTTGTTTCCTGCTTATGTTCCTTCTTATAATTCTGTGCAAAAGTGACACTTCTGTAGCACGACAATGTCGCACGACATTGAGCTACGCCATTAAAGTCTATTGGGCCAAATTGCAAGCTACAGGTGACATTGAGCTATGAGATGTGAATAGCTCCATTGAAATGCATTGGGCAAGCTTCACTGAGCTACATTGAGCTGATATTTGAGCGATTTATGAGCTGAAATTGTGCAACAAATCGCTCAGTGTGAATGGGGTCTAAAAGGGAATTGTACAGAGACTGCACAAATATTGAACAAGTATGGTGAGCTGCAGCAAAATATGGGATGCAGCAAACTATAGAGACCAGGGATGTCCAATCTACATCTACATCTGTTAAGCAGTTGACTATACCAGAGACCAGTGTTGTCAATTATACATCTACATCTGTGAAGCAGTTGACTATACCATAGACCAGTGTTGTCAAGTATACATCTATATGCTTACAATGTTGTGTGCTGCTCCTTAGTGTCCGCTCATAAGTAGAAAAGTAACATACAGGGTTATTCACAAAAGGGTGAAGAGTTTGGAGAAGTCAGGAGAAGTGAACCATCTAGGACAACATAGCTGATCTGGAAAAAATTGCCAATTCAGCTCACTTTGTAGTTCAGCTATGTTGTCCTAGATTGTTCACTTCTCCTGTCTTCTCCAAACTCTTCACACTTTTGTGAATAACCCCGATAGTGTTCAGCTCTATGACTTTGCAGATTCTATTCCCTGAACATTCTGTTCCTACAAAAGCACAGGAGTTTGCATCTTGTACAACTTTCATCTAGGAGTTCAGACTGTTCCGCAATAAAAAGAATACTGTTAAGCTCTAGACCAGT